TCCCGGATGCCAGGAGGGAGACCGACCTTGGCAGTTGGCAAGATTTACACCAAATGGCTTTTTTAAAATACATTTTACATCTTCCTTCCTTCCTTTCCTCCCTCCCTCTCTTTCTTTCCTTCCTTCCTTCCTTTCTTTTTTCCTTCTTCCTTCCTCATTCCCATCTCCTTCCTTCCTGCCCTGCTTCCCTCTTCTTTCTTTCTTTCTTTCTTCCTTCCTTCCTTTTCCTTCTTCCTCATTCCCATCTCCTTCCTTCCCTCCCTTCCTTCCTCTTTCTTTTCTTTCTTTCTTTCTTTCCTTTCTTTCTTTCTCTTTCCTTCTTCCTTCCTCATTCCCATCTCCTTCCTTCCTGCCCTGCTTCCCTCTTCTTTCTTTCTTTCTTTCTTCCTTCCTTCCTTTTCCTTCTTCCTCATTCCCATCTCCTTCCTTCCCTCCCTTCCTTCCTCTTTCTTTTCTTTCTTTCTTTCTTTCCTTTCTTTCTTTCTCTTTCCTTCTTCCTTCCTCATTCCCATCTCCTTCCTTCCCTCCCTTCCTTCCTCTTTCTTTTCTTTCTTTCTTTCTTTCCTTTCTTTCTTTCTCTTTCCTTCTTCCTTCCTCATTCCCATCTCCTTCCTTCCCTGCTTCCCTCTTTCTTTCTTCCTTCCTCTTTCTTCTCCTTCTTCCTCATTCCCATCGCCTTCCTTCTCTCCCTCCCTCCCTTTCTTTCCTTTCTTTCTCTTTCTTTCCTTCTTCCTTCCTCATTCCCATCTCCTTCCTTTGTACACTGCTTCCCACTTCTTTCTTTCTTTCTTTCTTTCTTTCTTTCTTCCTTCCTTCCTTCCTCTTTCTTTTTCATCTTCCTCATTCCCATCTCCTTCTTTCCCTGCTTCTCTCCTTTCTTTTCCTTCCTTCTTTCCTTCCTCTTTCTTTCTTCTCCTTCTTCCTCATTCCCATCGCCTTCCTTCTCTCCCTCCCTCCCTTTCTTTCTCTTTCTTTCCTTCTTCCTTCCTCATTCCCATCTCCTTCCTTTGTACCCTGCTTCCCACTTCTTTTTCTTTCTTTCTTTCTTCATTCCTTCCTTCCTTCCTTCCTCTTTCTTTTTCTTCTTCCTCATTCCCATCTCCTTCCTTCTCTGCTTCTCTTCTTTCTTTTCCTTCCTTCCTTCCTTCCTTCCTTCCTTCCTCCCTCCCTCTTTCTTTCTTTTCCTTCTTCCTCATTCCCATCTCCTTTCTTCTGTGCCTCCCTCTTTTTCTTTCTTTCTTTCTTTCTTTCTCTTTTTTCCTTCCTTCCTTCTTTCCTGTCTTGTACTGCTTTCCATTTCTTATCTTTTCATATTTTTCCTCCCTTTCTGATTTTCTCTTCTCCCTTCTGTAGTTTATATAATCCCGTACAAAATCCCTCCCTCCCTCTCTCTCTATTTCCCTTTAATCTTTCTCTCACTCACTGTCTCTCTTAATCTCTCTCTCTCTCTTTCCCTCAATCTCTCTACACCTCTACGTAAAGCGTTATTAGAGAAAAGTTTACAACCTATCTGGGAAGGCCCTTCCTCTCCACACGCAGGGCCAAATTCCACCACCTGTTATCAGAAAGCAATTTTTCTGCCCTTGATTCCTTTGGTTTTGCCTTTTCAGCACAATTCGCACTGAGGTCCAGGGCCCCAAGGAAGGCAAGAGAGTCCTTTATTCTCCTTTGCACCCAGGGGGAAAGGAGACCCCACAACCCCCCCCCCACATAATTCACGCGCAGACACACCAGCCCTCTCCACCTCCCATGTAGGAATCCAGCCCAGCTCCGACCACTAGGCAACATTTCCCGGGGAATTCTGGGAGTTGAAGTCCACCTGTCTCCAAGTTGTCGTCTTCTCTGGCTCCAAATAGTTAGGACTAACGGAGCTCAAGCTAAGCGAGAGGCGTCGTTAAGTGAGTTTCGCTCCCCTTTGCAACCTTTCTTGCTCCGGTTGTTAAGTGAATCACGCAGTTGTTTAAGCCAATGGGTTTCCCCTGTCCGCAGGTCGCAAAAGTGGATCACGTGACCCCCCGGGACTCTGCAACCGTCATAAATATGAGTCAGCGGCCAAATGTCCGTATTTGCAGCCGTGATGATGGTCATATATGTGGAAACCTTAGTTGCTTTTTTTCAGTGCCGCTGAAACGTCGGAGGCTGAACTAACGGTTATAAGTTGAAGACTAGCTGTAATCATAGTGAGCACTAGTGAAAAAGTGGGGAGCTTGCACACTCATTCTGCATTTGGTAGCCTTTGCCGGGAAACTAAGCCAAAGTGGGGTAAAATTCATGGTGTTTTCAGCTGCCATTTGCATTCAGCCCTCCGTCTCCCTCCCTTCTTCGCTCCCTTTTTCCTTCCTCTTCCTTTCTTCTTTTTTTCTTTGCAAAAGACACACAAACCGTCCAAGTTTTTGTTTAAAAAAATACTTTGGGCCAAGTACGAAAACTAGATAATTTATATATATATATATGTAGGTATTGTGTCACAACCCCTGGTATGCCCAAATACGGGAGGGAGCCTACGGCTTCCCTTTTCTGTCTATCGGCTCACCCCGGGAGCCCTCCAGGCAGAAAGCCATTTTTTTTAATGTTGCCTTGTTACATTTGTGTTGCAATATATATATATAAAATAGATAAGAGCCTGTGGCCTAATGGCTAAGAAGTCTGCCTAGTATGTAATACAGCCCAGGTTCAAATCCCAGTAAGGGTATGGCTAGCTGATGAGAGCTAAATAGCTTGAAATAGATCTATACTAGTCTCCCTTTATTTATTTATCAGCACAAATAAAACAGACACACACACACACACACACACACATACATATTGAAAAGCAGTTTTTAAAATATATATATTGATAAAAACTGCTTTTCAAAAGCCCCACATACCAAAGTGTATTTTTTTTTCCAGAAGAAAGGGAATGGATAAAAACGCATTCCGTAATTGCCTTTATTGGCGAATTATTTCTGCTTTGCTCCAACCCTTCCATTTTCGCACAAATCCGCTCCCACCGCCCCAAAAATGTTTCCCCCCCCCTCGTTCTAATCCCAGGCAAAACTTTAAAAAAGTTCCACGGGGGCCTCCAAGACAAATAATGTATTTTTTCCTGTCTTGCTTCTGCTTGGTTTTCCAAAGTTTGCATCTCTTTTGAATCTCTGAGCCAGAAAGAATATACCTATATATATATATTTCTTTAAAAGAAATAAGAATAATTCTGCTGTTTCAGGCTTTCTTACCTGGGCAGGAGAGCAACGGCCCCTTCTGGGTTGCCTTTTCCAGCTGCCTGGAAAGCCGCAAGACACCTGATCTCTGCCTTTGGCACACCTGCGACAGGTGAGCTGCCCTCTCCGGTTACAGGGACCTTCGAGTCCATTAGCAACACACACACACCCCGCTGGGCCCCCCCTCCTTGTGACATCACCTGGACGGGAGGACCAATGGCAGCCCTGTGGGATGCCTAGCGTGCACCTACCTGTCCATCTCTCTCTCTCTCTCTCTCTGTTTGGCTCCGCCGAGCCGTGGGAAAATCCCAAAAGATTTTCGCAGGAGGGGAATTCTGGATCCCCCCACCCCTCCCCTCCCCTCTTCGCCCCCCAAAGAAACCTGGGTTCGGATCCTGGGCGAGTTCTGCCTTGCACACACCCAGGCAAAGTCCAAACTCCCATCTCTGGCGTCAGGATGGCGAGAGTGTGTCGTGCGAGAAAAAAACCCGCAAAATTCAAAGTCCGTAAAATGGCGTAAAGAGTTAGGAAAGTGGCAAAGGTTACAAACAGGTCTGGACGGACAGACAGACAGACAGACAGAGGCAAGGCTGATTCCTTTAAAAGGACTTTCCTACTTTAGCAGAGTCACAGAACTGGAAGGGTGCCGAGAGGTCATCTAGACCAACCCGCGGCTCAAGCAAGACACCCCCCCCCCATATCGTTCTGCCCCACGGCTGTCCCGTCTCGTCTCAAAAACCTCCAACGATGGAGCGGCCACAATTATCCGGAGGAAACCACTGATTAGCGGATCTCGCGTTACGGAATCCACAGGGACCTTGGAGGTCATCTAGCCCAACCCCGTTCTCAAGCAAGAGATCCATTCCAGACCTCATGATGGTCCGGTCTCTTTGCTTTTGCGCAACCTGGAACTGCCCAACCTCAACGGACCCCCCCCCCAACGATTTACAACTGTTTACTGGCGGTTCAATTACCCTGGCACCGAAAGAAATCAGACTTATGACGGTTTCCCACCCTTACGACCATTGCAGGTCAAAATTTAGACTCTTGGCCGCTGACCCATGCATTTATGATGGTCGCAGCATCCCGGGGTCGCGTAACCCCCCTTTTGCGAAGTCAATGACTCACTCAACGATGGGTGTGTCCTAACAACGGCAGTGATTCGCTTAACAACGGTGGCAAGAAAGGCCTAAAATGGTGGAAGACTCCCGCAAGCGTCCCGCTTAGCAATGAACATTCCAGGCTCAGTTTTGGTCGTAAGCGGAGAACCTGTTTCTCAAACGTGGCCATTTGAAAACAGGGGGAGGGGGATTTCAAGTCCCAGAATCCCCCCGCAGGCCCTCAGCCCTTCCCACCTTAATGCCTTACCTCCTGTTTGAGCGTCTCACTGTCGACGTGTCGAAGGTTGTTTTTGGCTTGGACGTAAATCTCGGCGGTGTGGGGCATTTCGGGGGGGGGGGGGGCCCCGGGGGGGGGGGGGGGGGGGAGAAGGCGCCGGGAAACTGGGAGGTGGGGGTGGAGACGTTTGGCCCCCTGGC